CTACTCATTTTAGGCTTTAAAGGCTAACAACAGTTTTATATGGTTTCCAGAATACAGCTATAAGATCATTTTAATAGCCTTGATGCAGTCTTGCAAGCCACACTATTCACCCAAGGCAAACTTCAGCACTCTTTCACATACAATGGTCATACTGTTAAGTCTAGAGCAGCATCAGAAGTAGGAACATTACCTCGTCTCTCCCTTTGCATCCTCCCACCACCTCCAAAGAACAAGTCAAATATGTCCATGGGTGACCCAAAACTACTACTGGAGCCACCCTCTTTGACAGCCTGCTCACCACCTTTATCATACAGATCTCTCTTCTTCTGGTCAGACAGTATCTCATAGGCTTGGGAAATCTGTTTGAACTGTGAAAGATGCACATTAAGCCTCAGACCCCAATCTTTAAGCAGCAGCTCCCTCAGGAGTCCATTCCCCCTGCCCCCAACCTGACAATCCTCCCTCAAGTGGCTCTCATTCCTACCGACCTCCCCCACAGGGTCCCTCAATTTACCATTAGACCCCCCTCCCCACTCCAACCAGGCCCCTGGCAAGAGAACACTTCCCTCCCCACAGACAACAGGGTCCCCCCCAAACCAAACCTCTCCCCTCCAAAAGCAGCAACAATATCTGGAAGGGTCTTTATAATCTCCCCATCCAAGCCCCTCGCTTCAGTCAGCCCCTAGGCAAAAATCAGGGACGACTCCCCCCCAACCCCTCAGCAGCTTCGGTCCAGATCCCGCTCCCTCAACACTAACCTTCTCACCCTCGTTAGGGTTCTTATCAGGGTGATATTTTAAGGCCAGCTTACGGTACGCCTTCTTCAGCTCCTCAGCAGAAGCACTGGGCTTCACCCCCAGCACATCATAATACAGAGTCTCCTTCACCATGGCGACAGACCTACAAGAACACTAAGCAATTAATCCCAACATACGGACACACCAACCCCCTCATCAAAGGAAAGAATCAAACCGCACTACACAAAATCTAGAACTTACTTACAACCTTTCTGGAAAATTCCAAGCTAATGTCCACATCCAGGGAATTCTGAACCGACAAAAACCCACCCCCGGAAACCCCACCCTCTTAGTTGTTCGGGGGGTGGGGAATCAAAGGGAGGAGACCCAGTAACAGGCTACGAGTCGGTCATGCTGCGATTACCTCACTAGACTACAGTTCCCGGCAAGCACTGCGGTCCACCCAAAACCACAATTCCCAAAACACACTGGCCCTCAGCCGCGTCCTGGGCCGTGCGCAAAACTATGAATGGTTCCCTAGGCTATTTGCGGACTATAGTTCCCAGCATGCACGGGGAGCAGCCTCGTCGCAACGCTCGCTCTATTCATGTCTTAGTGACTTATTTCCAGGGCGTGGTAGTGGTTCAGTTCTGATTCTCTCTATTAAATGTCCTTTTTTGTTGGTTTGAAAATTCAGTGAATGGATACCAACACTGGGCTTTAAGCCCAGTTTTATATAAAACAAACCAGTTTTAAATATAATATTGATGGGTATGAAAACTTTCACCTTTAATGTTTGTCCAGTTGTCATCCTGCAACTTAGCTATCTCACCAGTTTGTGCCTGTTTGGACAAAAGGGGAATTTTTTTCTGTCATCAGTTGATGACAGTATGACTAAAAACTCACTTTGGTATTTGTGCAAGACTAGGCAACTAGTAAACAGTTTATATGGGCTATAAGACAGATAGGAGTCACTCCTGATATTCCCATTCAACTGAAAACAATAATTCTTGTCTTAATGAAGGCAAGGAGAGAAGGAAGTTATATTAGCCTGTTTTAATTGTCAACATGGAAGGAAGTGCACAACCATAAGTGACCAGTATAGTTGGTAAAACAAGCTAAACTTTCAAAATTCTTTCCATTCAAAAATTACATCTGTTCTTCAGTTATCATCTCTGCTTTTACAAAATTATCAGAGAAATATCTTTTAAAAATGAAATAAATAACAGCCCTCTACAATTATATCTACTTTAAGGGTATGTGGAAGGAGAGTGCCTGCTCCTTTAATGGTATCTGGTCAAAAAAGCCATAAACAAGAACATACAGAGACAAATCTGTGTGAGGTGCGACCAGGTGGAGGATCTGCTCAGCCTGGTGGCAGAGCTGAAAGAAGAAGTAGAAAGATTGAGGAGTATCAGGGAGTGTGAGAGGGAGATAGACTGGTGGAGCCACTCCCTACCATCCCTGAGACGAGCACGCCAGAT